GTACACATTACATGTTGTGAGATACCAGTTGACAAATATTGACAGACTTCGGACAGGTCTGCTAAGAAAAAAGAAAGAAAAGGTAAAACTCCTAGTGAGCCTCCCTTAGATCTCTTACTCTGTCCCCAACTTAGCTTTCCATGGTCCTATTTGTCCCAGTTTTACTCCTCCCTGAACTCCTTGCCTAGCTTTGCCACACTTGGCATCCAATAGAGACAAAAACTTCAGAGCTGGAGGGCAGCAAGTCAGGAAACTATGTCCCCTGGGATGGCCACTCCTGGAACTCACAGGGACAACAGAGACAAAGGACGTGGGCTCTTGGTCAGGGCGAGTTCCCTGGAGTGGACCGCTGAGCTCTGCATAGATGACCATAGGTAAGGAGGCATGAGGCCAGGGGGCAGGAGAGGCAGGCTCATAGAGGCTCAACAATTAACTACTAAAGACCAGAGACAGGCCTCCCTTTTCTTCCCAGTCCTGACCAACTGGTAGCCAAGACCCACTGATGATTTCCCAGCCTGATTTACAATTTCTGTCTCAGAAAAGTGAGATGTATTCTCCTCTGAGATCTCACTCTGTAAAGTCACATTCCTCTGAACCCTGAAATAAAGCGCAGATACTAAAAAACCACACAAAACCCATGTGCTACACTGGGAATGACTAGCAGTGAAACACCATCCCCCCCACCTCCACCACCATAAAGGAACAGAACTTGGCTAACCTATACCCCTCTGTTAGCCTGGCCACTTGCAGTGTGCTCCTCTCCCACCAAAGCAGCCTGGCTCTGAGTCTCAGTCTCCTTGAAGACACTACCATCCAGACGCACAGCCTTCCACCCTGGTTTGGTTTTCTGTCTTTGTCTATTTGTCCTCTAGCCCCTACCAGTGTGTCTCTTTGCAATCAGTCTGTTGAAGTCCTGGGCAGACTTGCACTATCTTGGTATATGCTGCTATATGTCCATATGTGCTCACTTTTAAAACTGTTTGCTAGCCGTGTATGTAGCAAAGCCAGAAGGAAAGCATGGTTGGGGGATTCTCTGTGGAACTATATATAGTCACAAGTGCACAGGGAATGTTTGTTTTTAATGTCCCACGTTATGGTCTGCTGTGGAATGAGGGCCGGCATCACGGTGTGCTCCAGGGTCCAAGGTGGTATACATTAGGTTTCATCACAGATGATTAATACTAAGGAGGCTGGGCGTAGCAAAAACCTAAGGAATCTAAACCACTACCCAGACTCACCAAATGTCATAAATATAAATTATAGATGAAAGGAAGATTAAATCTGGCCATTTACTTACGGTTTGGAGCAAGAGAAGTAAGCTTTAACACTTTTTTCCCTCTCTCATCTCAGCATAGTAACCATGAACATAATTTATTAGCATTTTCAAAAGGCCTTATCGAATATTGACTTAATAAAGAGCCTATACACTTAATGCTACCTCCAGACAGCCCTGAAATGACATGCTCCCGAGCTGGGGCACCCACACAGTGAACACAAGTGAATAGATACAGCACTAGGGGACTAGAGTTTTTTTTAACATTTAAAATTATATACATGTGGGATTTATTTAGACTTGCAAAAGTGAAAAAAAGCTCCCCAACAGATGAATAGATTTAAGAAGAAAAAAAAAAGACTCAAATGTCAAGGTATTGTCTTCCACTCCAATCCTGAAGTGATCATCATGCTTTATTACAGCATTAGTTATACAGCCACAAGGATGAGCCAAATACCACCAAAGAAAAGACAGTAGGCAGAGGACTCAAATGAGCATACACTAACGTTCCATTCTTATTTTTATTCTCTGTCTCTGTCTCTCTGTCTCTGTTCCTCTCTCTTTCTTGTGGTACTGGGGCTTGAGCTCAGGGCCTGGGTGCTATCTCTTAGCTTTTTTGCTCCAGGCTGGCACTTCCAGCTTTGATGGTTAATTGGAGATAAGAGCCTGCTGGGCTGGCTTGGAGTCATGATCTTCAGATCTCAGCCTCCTGAGTAGCTAGGGTTATAGAAGTGAGCCACGAGGACCCCACCCCCCTCTTTTTTCTTTTCTTACTTCTTACTTCTAGTCTTGATCTCCTGGGGATGTTATTTGTGAAGGAATCCTCTCACACTGGGGAGAAGGTGGGAGCAGGAAAGGTAGGAAGGGGATTTCCCTTCCTCACTGGGGTAAGGACTATGTATCTGACAGGCAGACTCTCCTCCTGGGCTCAGGAGTTTTTACAATCTACTTGCAAGATTGGATTCCTGCTTTTTTAGTATACAAGGTTAAGAGATTCCCAGCCCTGATGTTGACGATGCTCTAGGGTAGATCCAATTATTACAACCTGTGCATTGAAAATTCTCAAAGCAAATTAATTTGAACTCCTTTTCATGGAATAGGAGGATATTATTCAAAACTTTTTTTTTCTTAGCTATCATCCTAAGTCTACACTTTTCTGAAAGATTTGATACCTGCATCTTGAAATTCCTGTACCATTGCATTCCCACATCTGAGGGTTGACTCCCATTGGGTGGCCTTCCTCTTTAGTTCTGGTCCTTCTCCCTTTCCCTCCTCCGCCCCTTTCTGACACTCCCTAAGCCCTGCTCAAGGCTGTGTGGCCTGAAATCCCAGTTGGGCTGAGCAGGTTACCACAGTGAAGTGTGACAGGAAACTAGGATTGGATGGGGATGACCTATTACAATCCCTATGCTCTACCACTTCCTTCGCATGCCAGGCTGGTTGGGGCTGAGCACCATCTTGGACTCTGTGGTGTTTAGACCTCATTCAACCTTTCTGAAAAAACAGAACAAAACAAACAAACAAACAAACAAACAGGCTCATTTTCCATCCATAAGAGAGCACCTCAGCCCGGGCAGGAGCTGGCCACGGTGAGCAGGGCCAGGAACTCCACTCTGACCTTGCTTCTCACCCATCACATGGCTCCACTGGAGTCAGATCTTAGTCCTTCTGTTTCTGGACAGAGGAAGGATCCCAGAGTTTTATGTCTTGCTCCTTTGGTGAGCCAGCCGGAGGACAGATCAGTGATTATGCCCCCAGATCTACTGCCCGCATCCTCCCTCCCCTTCTCCTCCAACCACCCCCCGCCCCTGCTGCCCCAGTCTCCCTGCCTCTACTGACTGCCTGGATATCCCTTAAAGGTCCAGCATGGATGGTGGTGAGACATATGTATAATCTACTTTATTTCTCCCTACCCTTCCCAGCCTAGAGGTACTGGGTCTTCACAGGACTGTGCCATATGTAGACCAGCCAGGGGCTCATGATTCTTTCTGGGCAAACTGCATTTGGTTCTAAGGAAACTGCTCTACTCACAAGATGGAACATTTGAGCCCAGGGCTGCCAAGGAAAGCCCTTGATCTGGGAGATGTGGCAAGAGGAGGGAGACCTATACTCCATCTTTAGATCAGCAACAGGCTTTGGGGCTGTTCTTACTGAAGGGGACTCTAGGGCGATGGTGCTCTAAGCTCTCTTTAACCCACGTGAAAGTCTTCTGGGTCCCTGGCCCATTGCTGTGGTCAGTATAGGAGTTGAATGTGGTCCCCAAAGGTTCAGGTACTAGAAATGTGTGTCCAGTGTGGTGGTGAACTTTTCAGGGTTGGGGCCTAGCGTACTGCCCGGGGGGAAGGATTGATGTCGGTTTCCAGGAGAGAGTTGTGTGTCCCATCTCTATGCTTTTCCTCCACACTGATATACCCAGAGGGCCCAACCTGAGCCTACACAGACAGCATGGGTCTGCTCAATCTTGGACTTTCAAACGCTAAAACTGTGAGCTGAAACCTCTTACCCAGCCTCAGGTATTTTGTTATAGCTCAAAAAAAAGAGAAAGAGCAAGTTACCAATAAACCCGTTCTATACCACCAACTACCATGTGAAAACAAAGTACGTGGTGGCTTTTTTCCACCTAATCTGTCCTTTATGCCTCCCATCCCCCCTGGACACTCCATAAATATCTAACTTTATCAATCATATTTAGAGTACTGGGGTAAAGATGAGTGTTCAAATAGCCAAAAAGTTTTCTTTATTTCTCATATGTTTCTTATTCAAAGACACTCAACCCAGGATATAATGTGGGACTTGTGTCCAGCTACTTACTCTCAAGGTCTATCTCCAAGCAGACTGGCTACATTAGGAGCTGTCAGAGAGGTGAGACTTGAGCCTTCACAGTGCAGAACTGACCACTCAAAACCATCAGCACCACAGAGTGGTGCGTGCATGAGTGTGTATGTGTACAACGGTGTGACAGCGGTGGAGTTCGTCAGAGAGAGAAGGCTCATCAAGATGTGGGACTGTTTTTGGGTGGGTTTCAGACCCCAGGTCTCTGTATGCACACACCCTCTTATTCTGCCTGGAGCACAGGGAGTTAAAGACGAGCCCACCCTTGAAAGGGAACCAATTATCCATGGCAATTTATTCAACAACGAAGGGTCCTAGGCCTTATTAAAATAGCTGTTGCGTGAGTTTTCTTATCCTCAGATGTTCACTTCTTCAGTTGTCAGCACCTGCTGGCAGCAGCTGGAGTAATCTCACCAATCTTGCCGTATGTGCAAATCAATTTGATTTGATTTCTCCCCTCCCCCCAAAGATAAAAATCAGTAAAGTGATTAAGTTGCAATTAAGGCAGGTCACTGAAAGCAGACAACATGAAGGGGCTGGGAAAGGAATGACCATAAGGTCACGAGTGACTTCCGTCCACCAGAATTAATGATTTCCCCTTTCTCTACTGAATTTGACACTGGGTGGAGCAAAACCCACCTCTCCCTGACTGCAAGTCCCTCCTCCTTCTTGCCATCATGCTGTTCCAGGTATTCTGTTCATCTGTCATGTGTCCATGTAACAATCCATCCATCCGTCCATCCATCCATCCATCCGTCTGTCCATCCATCCATCCATCCATCACCCATCCACCACCCACCCATCTACCCATCCATCCACCACCATTCATCCACTATTCATTTATCCATCACCCATGCAAATACATACTTAATGACTCAATGTAGGAGGCACTGGGAAAAATGACAAAGTATATTTATGTTTGATTTTACAGTTTTAAAAATGCCTTTATATACATAATTTCATGAAATTACCACTGTAACCCCATCAGAAGGCTGCTAGTGTCCCCATTTTACAGATAAGAAGACAGTCTCTAAGAGAATTTGTGATTTAAAATAGCACAGCCAGCAAGTGTCAGGGTCTGGACATGAATTCCGGTTTTTATCCCATTAAGAATTCATAATGGTACTCTCCTGGGTCAAGTATCATTTTTTTCTATCAGTCTTGCTGTTCTTAATTAAATGTCATGATATGATCAATACATAGTTATTGAGACTGTGCTAGGCTCAGGGATGCAAAGACTGAGTCCCTGCCTTCACAGAGCTTGTGGCACAGTTAGGGAGACAGATATTAAACATGTGTTCACACCATAAATATTTGTTTTCAATACCTAAGGGAGAACTAATCTGGATATGAAAATTAGGGACGTTTTCCAGGAGGAAGTAATTACGGAGATGCATTCTGAAAGATGAGTCAGAGTTAGCTTTGGGAAGAGAGGATGTAATAAAATCATAAAGAAAGGGAGGCAGGGAAAGCATGTGCAAAGGCCCTGTGGCAGGAAGACACAATGTGCTGAAATTCTGAAGGCCAGCTTGACTGGCATACAGAGTAAAAGGGGAGCTTGGCACAGGCAGTGGTCCAGAACACACACAACTTTGTAGCCATGATAATGATGTTGACTTTCAGCGTAAGAGCAATGAGAGCCACAAGTCAAGAGAATGACATGATTAACTTTGATTTGGATTCTGACTCTGGTGTGCAGGATGGATTGTAGAGGAGCAAGAGTGGAAGCAGGGCAAAGAGCCGAAGGCTTTTGCAGTTGTCCCGGTGAGCAGTGATGGCAGCTTGGACCGGGGTGGTGGTGGTGAAAATGGAGAGGAGAACCCCACAGGTGCCCCGTGCTCTGCTCACGCCCCTGTCCTCACTCGACCCTGTCACCAGAGTGTGCTCACGAATTTGCTGTACGTGCGAGCGTGTCCACACTTCAGGGCTGTGCTGGAGTCTCCTCTTCCAGGAAAGCCTTCTCCAGACCATGCCAGTCCTGCGAGGTCTTCCGGAAGGTGTGCAAATCTTCTGCACTCCCCACGCTCACACCTGACGCTGATCTAGGGCTTGGCTGCTCTCCGCTCCACTCCAGGAGACGCTTGCATTTCTCTTGCTGTCTTGCTTTCTCCCTTTGGAAAGTAAATGCTTTGTTGGCATTTGCTGAATGGTATCAACAGGGCTCCTTTGGAAATTACATTTGTTAGTGATTACCATGCCAATTGCCTTTCCCCCCCTCACATTAAACACGGCTGCTTAAGTCTGTCTTCGTGATCTTGTTCTAGCGAAATGTCTGTCCCAGGGCTTATTTATTTATTTATTTCCTTCCATGATTTCCTCGAAACCCTTTTCCATAGTTCTCCTAGTGGAAAGGAGCGTCAGGGGAAAGGAGTGGGGTGGAGTAGGGGCAGGAGTATAATTAAATGGGGGTTGTCTGACCAGAATGCCTCTACCTTTTAATGGGCTATTTGATGAATCCTTTCCACAGGCGCCATTATTCATGCCTTGATGGAATCTCATTTTATAGCTCTTAATACATGGACCCAATTTATCCACATCACATTGTGTTCTAATACTTGTCATGCACGTTATTAGCTATCTCCTTCAGTGTAAAGCTATCAGCAAGTTTGATTAGCTCCATCCCTGGGGATGATGGGGAGATAAGAGCAGACATAATGGCCACGGGCGGCCCTGCGCTGGCACGCCAGGAGCCAGGGAGGAGCTCTCTGTGGGGCCCAGCAGCTTTTGCCACACAGGCTGAACAGCTGTGCCCAGAAGGACCAAGCCATCTTTCCGAGTGGGGTCCCTGCCATGCTGCTCTCTGACACCCCTCTCTCCCACCGACTTCCCTTTTTAAGAGTACAGCACCAGCTCCTCTCATTCAGGACTTTGTTTCTCCGCCAGTCCCTGTTCTTGATCAGGACCTGGCAGGCAGAACAATCTAGAAGGAAATAAAGTGCTGGTGGTTGCTCTCTCCAATCCAGAGCTGGCGCTAATCAGCCACCCTTTCTCCCTCTCTGCAGCCATCTCTGAGCTATGGGACTCACAGGTGGATTCAGTCCCTTCCAAGAACGTCCCGCGTAAGATCGAAGGCGAGAAGGGGCCGGGTGACCCCAGGATGATGGCCTCGAAGCCCATGACAGTTCCCAGTGCCTCTTTCTATATCTAGCCACCTGTTTCTGGTCCCATGTGACCAAAGTCCCTTGGTCCTCCTTGACACCCAGGGCCTGTCGGCTGTCCTCATGGTTTCCCGAGACTGGCAAGGTGGGAATGCAAGAGGCTCACCGTTTGTGACATTCTTTCTTTTAAGATGTGCGGCCTCATTCCCACTGTGTGTGGGGCAGCATTCGCCTTGTGTGCCCAATGAGCAGAAGAGAGAAGAACGACAGGGCATTGCTTCTGAGGCCAGGCATTAAAGAGCAGAAGACTGCTTCCCTTTCTTTCCTGAGTTGCTGGCTCTGAGGAGATTCACTGTCATGTTAGAAGCAGAGGCCTGAGTCCTGAGAGTGAGGACTGAGCCACAGGGGCGAGCCGCCTTGGAAGTGATTACCTCTACTACCATCCCATATCTGGCTGACAGCGTGATTGCTGCCCAGGAGAGACTCAGAACCACACAGCTAAACAGCTCCCAGGCCTCTGACCCCAAGCCAACTGTGTAAGACAAAACCACATGTTGAGGTTGCTTGTTATGCAGCAACAGGTTACTCATACACACTCCCTAATGCAGGGAAAGATCCTCTTCAATTCCCTTTTTAGACTCCATTTCATCTTTTCTCTCTGTTCAAAGAGCCTGAGTCCCTGTAGTGCCCCCTACTGCCTCATCCAGTCCTCTCTCTCTCCTGTTCACACACCTTCTCAGGTCTCAAGGATTCTCCTGAGCAGAAGGGGTAGAGGGAGGAGCTCCCGAAGGTCTAGGTTTGGAATCCATTCAGAGTGACAACTGGCATCAGGAGGAGTTTTGCAGTACGCAGCCTTCCTCAGGCCATGAAACTCCCATTTATTTCTGAATCCTGGGGCCCAAATAACATCAGCCAGGCCCACCGCTGAATGAAGAGCTTTGCAAACGTGTTCCCTTTGGTATCCTAGGTGCCTTTCCTGAAAAGGTCACATTGACTTTGCAGTTAAATGCACCTGCCGCTAGGTGCGGGATTCTAAACTAGATGGAAATGTCATCAGGCTCAAAGGCTGCAGGTGTGTTCTACCTGCCACCTCTGTAGTAGTGTCCTGCCAAGGTAAGTATCATTGTCATGCAGGTGGCCTCTGACTCATGTTGCTCAGGTTACACAGGGAGCAAAGTGGAGATTTTTGATTTGGAAAAAAAAAATCAAGTTGTTTTGCTATTTGGTTAAATTCCAGTCAAACCAAAATTAAGGCCAGTTCTATGGGCAAGTTCAGACAGTTACAGACATTGGTCTCTTGGGAGACTTGGCAAAGGCAAGAAAACCCTTAACTAACATTGAACTTCAACTTCAAAGCTGTGATTCTCAAAGCACCAAAACCCAGGCCAGCAGCAGCAGGCATGATATTCTTGGATCTTGCAAATCTGCAGAATTAGAAATTGGAGTGGGGGACCCCAGGATCTGTGCTTTCACAAACAAACATTGAGGATTTAGGTGTCAGACTACAGGTGACTATCACTGAGCTCCAAGACCAAATATGTAGATTATTCACTCTCATTCAGAAGACACTGATTGAGTACCTACACTTTGCCAGTCACTCACTATGAGCTGCAGGGCTGGGCAGGGATGACCAGAAGTCCCTTCCTCAAGGGGAAGTAAGTTGTGTGTGTGTGGGGGGGGTATGGGGGAGGGCAGTTCAGCCATTCTTTACAGGTAACTCTCTCCCCTCCCCCATGACCATGCTCAACATAGCAACCTTGAGAAGTTAACAAGTATGTGGGTATACAGGGGGTATAGCCCTAAAAATTGCATTCTCTCTCTCTCTCTTTTGCCAGTCCTGGGGCTTGAACTCAGGGCCTGGGCACTGTGCCTATGAGCTTCTTTGGCTCAAGGCTAGTGCTCTATCAACTGGAGCCACAGTGCCACTTCTGGCCTTTTCTGTGTATGTGGTACTGAGGAATTGAACTCAGGGCTTTATGCATGCTAGGCAAGCACTCTACCCCTGATCCACCTTCCCCAAAATGCATTATCTTTTAAGTAGTTTGGGGATGTAGCCTTTTAAGCTTACAATAATTATGTGATTCCACTAGAAATGAAAGGCAGGATCGAGTTTCACTTGGGCATGTGCTTATCTTTGTGTGTGTGTGTGTGTGTGTGTGTGGGGTCATAGGGCTTGAACTTAGGCTCTAGGCACTGTTCCTGAGCTCTTTTTGCTCAAGGCTAGCACTCTACCACTCTGAGCCACAGCACCACTTCCAGTTTTCTGGTGGTTAATTTCAGATATGAGTCTTATGGACTTTCCTGCCTGGGCTGGCTTTGAATTTCAGTAGCTAGGATTATAGGTATGAACCACTGGTGTTTCGCTAATGCCTATCTTTTAATAGACCAATTCTTGTTATTTCTTCCCCTTCTAGGAAGTAGTTTTTCTTTTTTTTGTTCCTCTTCCTCCTCATTCTCTCCCTCCCTTCCTCCCTCCCTCTCTCTCTCTCCCCCACCCCCTCTGGTGCCAGTCCTGGGGCTTGAACTCAGGGCCTGGGTGCTGTCCTTGAGCTCTACCACTTGAGCCACAGCTTCATTTTCAGTTTTTTTTGGGTGGTTAATTGGAGGAGATAAGACTTTCATTGACTTTCCTGCCTAGGCTGGCTTTCGAGATCCTCAGATCTCAGCCTCCTGAGTAACTAGGATTATAAGTATGAGCCATTGGTGCTTGTAGTTTTTCTTCTCTCTTTCTCTGTAAGTCTGTCTAAATAAGTCATGGCTACCAGTATGTTATGGCACGCTTCCTAAGGCTGGGCTCCAAGGTAGCTCTCCCGTTCCCTCTCCTCTTGTTCCCTCTCCTTCCTCCCCTCTAGCTACAAAGTAGGTAACAGATATACAGTCTGAGGAAGAAGGGTAGAGGCTGCAAATCCCCACTGGGCTCCTTAACCCCAGGCAAATGCCAGTCCTGTGCTGGGCTCTCAACCCCATGTGATTTTTTTTTTCTGTTAATTCATTAAAACCACTGGAAAAACAGAAAAAAAAATTCCTTCCTCCTCTAAAAGGTTTCTCACAGGAAACCTTTGGCTAAAGATTGAATCAGGGCCTTTAATTTTAAAATTTAAAGTTTAAGTCAGACAGGATGGCACATGGATATAATCCTAGCCCTGGCCAGGCTGTCAGGAGGACTGAAGAGTTCCCAGTTCAATCTCAAGCGTAGGAGTCACAGTACAATTCTGTCTCAAGAACAATAACTTCATTATTGTTATGTCTTTTCTCTTTTCTCAGTGTTTTCGAGGTAGTAAAGGCTCACTGTAATCCAATCGGGGCAGCTGATTTTCCTTTAGTTGGGATGAACTGGAGATGATCCAGCCAAACCATACCTTTGGGAATGTGGATCCCATTCAACCCAACAGCTTTGGTCTAGAGGATGTAACCAATGGCAACAGAAGAAATCACAGCTATGTGGCTGGACCAGAAATGCATTCAGCCATTTGGACATGAGGCCTGCCTAGGGTAGCTGTGCTCCTTCACCACATGGCTTCCCCTTCATGTACAGGGCTATCATTTACAGGTCACCTATGGTTTAGTAAGTAGACTGGTGGCCTTGGGAACAACCTAGTGTTTCTGCTTATGTACCACCATGAAATCTCAAGTCCACGTGGGCCATGAGGAAAAGTCTGTAGCATCTCTGAAGGCCTGTGAAGTGCATCTAAGCTGAGAGGAACTGAAGTGCATAATGAAGGATTTTAGAACAAAAAGCCCGACCCCTCTCTAATTTTTAAATCAGAGATGCTTGCTGGCTTTTGCTGAGATACTGATTTGATTAGTAGCATTCTACGACACTACAGACATGAGATGTTGAGCTCACAAACGGATGATTCATTTCAAGATTTTGACACAAGAAAAGCACCTATCAATGGCATCCGGGAGGCTGGGAGATTCCCTGCATATAAATGGGACAGGCGATGAAGCCATTTGCTTATAGTTACAGTTCTGAAGCCAGGGACCACCCCACTGTGCTCTCTACCCTGGAGAAGTGACGGCGCGGCAGGAAACCGCTGGGATTAGATGCTCCTGCATTTGGACA